ATAATATATATTATGGTTCATTTTGGGGATTTAAAAAAAAAAGTAGCTTACGAAGAACGTACGACTATAAATTCCTGTAAAAGTAATATAAAATTATTATGCAATAATAATGATAATAGAAACAGTTATTTCAACTTTGTTACAATTATACGATTTTTCGCCATTATTATCGATCGGTCTCCTCTAGGCCTGAACCACTGACCCACCATACGGTTTCTAAAAAAAATCTACTCAAGTCTTTTACCCTACTTACAGAATTTGTCTTAGTTTACTGAACGTTCGAGGTGTCTTCCAGTGGCTCAGCGATAAACCTGCAGGCTTACGATGCTAAAAATCGAGTTTCGATACCCCTGGTGGCCTGAGCACAGATAGCCCATTGTGTAGCCTTGGGCTCAACAACAATAACCAACTAGTCGTCCATGGTTGGTATTTATTTAACTCTCAGAATTCTTTATTTGTATCGAAATAGAGTTGGAAAACGAAACCAAGAAAGATTTCTGAAAGTTCGGTAAATATCAACAATGTAATACCTCACCAATATATATGTAATATTTACTAATTTATCTTAGATCAAGGTTGTTATTTCCCTGGTATGGTGGAACTGATTTAAAGTGTTGCCAAGGTGGCATTATTGTCATTACTTTCCATTATCACTGTCAACTGTGAAATTCTATGGTACTAAAACGGCATCACATAATAAGATACTTTATTTTCAAATATTACTTAAATACTATTTTTGATAAAAAATTAAGACTCAAGTAGAAAAACAGATATATTTTGTTGATAAAAATGTTTTGAATATATCATGATATTAAAGTGAATATTCTAAGGATAATGTTTTCCTTCTCTTCGCTACAAATATGAGTGATATTGTTTAAGTTCAATATTTTTGAATGCTTATCGTAAATGATGCATATGTTGTTAAGTTTATTTGTTTCTTTGGTAAGCACATAACTACACAATGGGATATCTGTGTTGTGCCTACCATGAGGATTGAAATCTGTGTTTTACCGAAATGAGTCTTCAGACATTCCACTGAGCCACTGGGGGGAATATAGTAAAGCTAGAAATCTTAAGTTCATTGTATGATATTACAATGTCATATTGTCATATAATGTCTTTTCGTCTTCAGTAATATTATTTTAATACTTACAGAAACATGTAGTTGAACAGTTTGCACTTCTTCAGAAACCTGCAAAGCTTTCACCATTCTTCAAACCATTTTTATCCTTCCCGGACTTAGTATCATCTATAGAACGGTAGGCCGGTTATTTTTAATAACAATAGAATATTATTTTTGGTCCATAATAAGTTTTATTATTCTTATCTTCTCTAAATAAGAGATTCTAATATTTTTTTCCTTTGAAATGTCGAGTAGAGTTGTATGAGAACCAAATTTGTCTTATATAGCGTTGGGTGCTTTATATAATAAGAATTTTAAATATAAAAACCAGAAAGTGACAACCATGGCCTGTATAAAGTCGCGCTAGAACGGAATGTACCAGAACTACATTTTACAGTGCTTGACATTACGTAGGAAGTGTGATAAGGCCGACAACTGATGGCCTTTGGGAAAAGTGAGTAAAGCTATTTCCGATGTAAAATATTCGTACACTCAGATCACAAAGTTGTGTTTAGATAGAAGACAGGATATCAATTATACTTAACAGAATAAAGGAAACAAACGATCCTTTGATCATCCAGAAAGAGATCTGTACTATTTGATTTTAATGTATAATTCTTTACTCACCTCTAATAACCTAAAATACTTTAGGTGTTTGAATAACATGTGACCTTTCCGTTGCAAAAATGTAAAACCATATAAATCTAGTGCTTTAGAAAGATGCGCCCTTTTTCATTAGGGGCTCGGGTTGTAGATTTTTAATGTTTCTCCTAAGTGGATTTGTTGAAGCAACGTGTTTTCCTAAAATCATGAATAAATATCATTACAATTAATTATCCATTATTATTCTGCAGACTGATTGGTTATTTATTTGTGTGCGCATTATTTTTGCTTACCAGAGCTTGAATTTCATAAAGAAATGATGGTTTAAGGCCTAATCTATTCTTTGATTCGCTACTCCATCTGTAGAAGACTAGGTTCGCCGAATTCACGGCTCATCAGTACTGCATGGAAAAGCAAAGCAAATAAATAAAGTAAGCCTTATATAGTGGTTATTAGTGGTTAGAAAAAGACTATACATCAAAGGAAACACATTGCTTATATTCCACAATTATTATTGCACAATATATTACTATATTATAATAAACGGTCTCATTATGAAGACCAAAATAGAAGTTTTGTAAGAAACAGAGCAGTTGCATTCTAAAACAGAAACTTCATTGTACAAGTTCTTTCTCAGGTGTTTATTATATTTTTCATTTTGCATACTGATATCCCACCAGTGACTCAATGGTAAGTTTGAATGCGTATAACCCTAAAATTGGTTTTCGATACCCGTGGTTGTCTTTGCGTAGCTTTTTGCTTAAAAACAAACAAAAACATTACTGATTAGAAACAATTATTGGTAGGACTGCATAACATAACGAGTCACAATTACTACATTTTATTGTATTATTTTATGTCTTAGTCAACATACATAGTAATACACTGTATTCTGTATTTTGATATCTACAGGGAGACACTGAAATCCGAAGCTAAGAAAGTCATTGAAGAAGATTTGTTGCCTGCATTTAAGAAGCTTGGCAGTTTTATAGAAAAGGTCAGTTCATTTTAGAAAATTCCTTTTTTCAACATTTTTTGGTTTAAAGAAACTGTAGTGTCATCATTCTTATTTCCCTGTTTCAGATTTAATGAGAAGTAAACGATAGTAACACACTGTCTACTAATTCGGATTGTTTGACACAGATTATGAATCATTTAAAATGTTTAACTCTGATATTTTATATTTAATTCAAATATATATGACTTGTAAGGCAGGCTAGTGTCTTTATTAGTTTATAAGAAAGATTAAACTTTTGAATATACACATATAGACTCTTCTGGTACACCGATTGGTGGAAATTCTTTTATAGATTTTGTTGCATTCATCTTTCAAGAAATTATTTTACAGTTACGGTGTCATTCGAAAAAAAACATCGCTCCTTTAGTCACAAATATGTCACAATCTGCTCTTATCAACAGCGAAAAAAATACACAAAACTTTCTTGAATAAGGATCATTAATATTTATAACGTATGGTAAGTACATTTATTTAATAGTTATTGTCTTATCATGCAAGTAATCAAGAAATTACAGGTTTATTTTTGAATTTAAAGGGTCGAACATAGCCTAGTTTTTAGCGTGTGCTGACTGTGAATCCGATTTTTATATAGTTTATAGCCTGTTACCTCAAAAACGCGTTCCACATTTTCGGTCGTTAGTACGCTGTAAGAGTGA